CTTATGTTTACTGATGTATTCTGGATAATTGCACAAATAGGCCCTAGTGCATATATGAAAATGTGCAACATTTCGTGCAAGTCGGCAAACATACTTGATGTAATAATAGCCGACGGTTTGTGTAGTTCAAAAATAGCAAACATTGACTTCATGTAAATTCTGTCGGCACTTAATGTGCCATCTGTAACTTACAGTGGGACACATATAGTCACGGCGTAGGGATTTTAAGTCGTTTTTTCACGTGCCATCGTCGCGTTCGTTGTGTGTAAAAATGCTAATTTCAATAAAAAATGCCGATTATTTCTTATTCTTTTAATTTTTTTACATTTCAATTTCAAGATATGATAGACGAGTATCTAAGCTTCATTTTTTATTCATTGGGGCAAGATTTCAGAGGAAGAATTTGATAGAGTAAATCAGCGCTAAATTATAACGTCATGGTGATTTTCTAGCGTAACTTCAGCATAATATTTGCTGGAACTTATTTTAATTTTAGTTTTTTAGTCGTAGCGTTGACGCTTTGCCAGTTAATTTTCTAGTGCTGCGTTTTTAGTAATGGCACTCTTTCTCATTAGATGTCATCTTTGAATTCGAAGTCCATCTTTGTGAATTAATCTAGTTGGACGTACGTAGTTATATAAGTAGAAAAGATAAATCTGAACAGGGTTTTTTAGAGACAAAAGTTGTAAAAGTTTGTATAACCTGGTGTGTTAAAGTTAAAGGACAACAGTAAACACCCGAACGCACTCAAAAATCAATTTCCCCGTTTCTCCCAAACCGTTTATACCATCATCATACCCTCCCCCTTCATTTTTGTGCCGTTTTTTTCAACATATTTCCTTTGAATCCAACTTTCTATATTGAATGGCTCGTCAACATCTAATTTAAACTAAAATATCATATGATCATTTCCAATGGCTTATTAGGTAATTTCTTTATGAACTTTTTATCCCCCCTCCCCGCCTCGCGTTATGTCTTCACTAACACAATGGGGTGATATTTTGTGGAGTCCGTCACAATCATGGTTGAGACAGCATCAGAATCAATACACCGTAGTCTCTATCGTAAGGTCTATTTGGTCAAACATAGCAAAAACTGCTCAGATATTCAAATCAGTGAACCTTATTGAGTCATATCAAAATAGCCAGTGACCTACATAATGTCGTCACGGGGTTGATAAGGATCTGAAGTTAGTTTTCGTCTGGCATTTTTTTGGAATATACTGAACCCAAACTCGTCCAATGTATTTTTAATGTTGTAAAGTACAAACGAAGTTCCATCCGTAAAATATTGGTGAGAGTTGTAAAGGAAAGGCGGTCACTTCAGCCTGTCACCTCCCCCTACCATGAATGTAATGGGATGGACAGCCTGGAAGGAGACGACACTGCCTCAGTGCTGAGTGATCAGGAAGTGGAGCGAAGGCGGCCTAGATATTAAGTATAAGAATATCATAATTTCGGCCATATTAATATAACGTTTGAAGAAATCAATTTTAGGTATTTGGTGATAAGTTAATTGTGATTTATTTTTGAAAAGTATTTTGGCACCCGTTGCTTAAAAGTGGTTTTGACAATTTCCCAACATTTTCCCCACGTACCATATATTTCCTCCTTCACTTCATCTCACCACGTCTCATAAAACAAAGGAAAATGCAGTTGCACTTCATATTCAGTATTTTTAACTTCACCGGTAAAAATAGTAGTGGCAGTGGAAGTTTGCCGTGAGAAATGGCCAAGGAGGGGAAAATGCTGTGAAATGTCTTGTGAGAGTCTGGCCATTGGCATGTTGATATTTACATGTAGTGAACGACTGGCAGTGGAATTATAGAATATGATATAGGTAAAGTAACAAACGTCCATTTCCGAAGTAAAGAACATAATTAAAGTATTAAGGAGGTATAGTAATACACTTCCATTTCGAATATTGGCAAGATTTCATAAATTAATATTTAATATTTCATTTCATTAAAATCTTTGAGCTAAATTGAAGTTATATTGATTTCTGCGCGACATATTATAAGATCAACCTTTCAAGACATAGGGGGCAAGCTGATAGCCCGAAATGCTGTTTGGAACGGATCTGAAAAGGCTCTGTCTAAAAGTGTCTTTTACGTGTTTTTTTCATATAACATTACGAATTTGAGGTCTTTTACGAATTAAATGTAACATATTTAAAACGTAATGATATATCAGAATGCATGGTCATCAGTTAAAAACTTGCTTTATTGTATTGAAATATGTTCTATACTATCTTATTGTCAAGTTTGTCACACGTGACATGTAAATGATACTATTTGTGGTATTCTTCAGTAAGACAGCAAGGGGTGACTTCAAGTTTAGATGGGAATTAAGTACGCACAAATACACACATTTTATGTCGGTTTAAAGCACAATATTTTTCTATAATATTCAGAATTCTGTAATATTGAGTTTCACCTAAATCACCAAAGGACACATTATCGAAATCGTTGATAAATTCTACAAGTCCGGTGTCGAATTTTTAATTTCTCTTTTTACCAGCGTGAGTATATTCTTCAGTCTCAGATTCTCAAAATTGACTGAAATCTAGAATGTATCGACTGACGCTCATTGCGTGTCTTTCTTTTAATGTTAAGATGAGAAAAAAAGGATTATCGTCTCTTGAAATTTGCTGTCTTGTTGAGTAAGAGATGTCATTTTACGAATCAAGATCGATTATTTTGTGTCAAAAGTGAAGTATGTAGAATTAAGAAATTTCCATTTGAGAAAAAATTCGATTTGAGAAATATCCCTTCTTGAAAAGCTGATTTCGTACATGTAAATACCCTTCATATGATGGAAAAGAAACTTTCGTGTTTGACTTATCTCTGAACGTAGTTTTTACACTGTTAAATATGTTTTATCATGAAAAATAACTGATATTTTTGTCATTAATCTGTTGAACAAATACAGGTTCTGGGTAAAGATGACGGGACCATTTATGTGATTGAAAATTGTTTTATTTTCCAAATTTAACTGTTTTCGGCAATTCTCTTTAACCAGCATCTTTCCTTCTATTGACCAGATGATACAGAAATTAGGGATATTTTCTCGTATTTAGAACATTTTATGTTCAGAAGGTTGCTAAACATTTCTTACAAGATTTTTGAAATTGAAAATGGATGTAGGAAATGTGAGAAATGTCATGATCTGTCCCTTGGATTTTAACCCAGATTTCGTGTAAATGTAGTATGTTTTCTAATTGAAAATGGATGTAGGAAATATGAGAAATATCGTGATATGTCCCTTGGATTTTAACCCAGATTTCATAGGTGAACATGTAGTTTGTTTTCTAAAAAGGATTTTTTTTCAATTTCATATTTCTTTTATAATCTAATGTTCATTATTCTTTCAATTTTGTCAAAAGCTGGGTAAACGCTGTATTTGTTTTTTTACGTATTTTGACACTTTTTTTGGGGGGGGGGCTTAAGCCCCCTCTATACTGGACGGCGTCCTTTCTGCGTCCCGTAGTACGGCCCCGTTTGAGAGTAAAAAAAAAATTCGTGCCGACATCTGGCCGATCATTGAGCATTCATTCTGCAGTCAAAGCGATGCTTGTTCCTCCTTTCTATGTCAGTTTCATGGTCGCACAAAGGACGCAGAAAGGACGCCGTCCAGTGTAAAGGGGGTTTTAACAACGAAAGTGTGTCCGTTTTGTCTTCCTAACGATACGCGTCTGACATTTAATAAAAATCTCATAATTGTCATTGTTATATAGAGAAAAATAATGGCGGATCAAGGATATTTTAAAGGGGAAAGATGTTGACATTTGGAGCGAGATGGAGTATTTTGAGAACTTGATCATGTGAGTCCAGAATGGGTCTCTCTCCTCGGGGAGGACGGAGACTAGATCCACTATTGTTTTTTTTTTTTAATGAAGAAGTTGAAATATTTTGTTTTTGTCATTAAGAACAAACATAAGACCATTAGTGTGGTAAATAGTTTATTTGTCAAGTCGAATATATAAGAATGTTATATTTTTTACACCTGCAAGTGAATTTAAATGCAGGCATTATAACATTATACTATAATATCATAATATTCTTTTAAATACTAGGACGCTTTCTAACTTGTTGTAATAAAAATACTGAAGACGATGATATTTTACAGATATATATATGTTTTATAAATATTTGAATACATAAAACCAATTTGTATTGCTCTTAATAAAACACTTATTGAATATACAAAATGTCTTAGTGTTTTTACTGATGGCTACATGGCTCAGTGAAAGCCTGGGGTTGGGGTTCGATTCCTGGCTCGGGCACTTTGGAATTACAATGAGGTGCTATTAGAAATTTTCTTTGCTTACTATAAGAAGAAAGTCTACCCGGGGAGGGTGGGTGGGAACACTTAGAGGAGTAGGTAACGCGCTTGTCTCTGAGACAGAAGGTCCCCAGTTCGATTCCTGGCGCTTCTAGGTCCCAACAAATTACCTTTTGCAAAAATAAACCCAAATAAACAATTCAAACTACTATAAGAGGATTATACGAATGAGGAAAAACGCGAACTGAGACAGTGGCTCAGTAGGTAAGGCGACAGACTAAGAAGTACAAAAGGGTGAGCTAGGAGTTGAAAACCTAAGGTTCAAGTCGAGCTGAAGAAAAGAAAGTCAAGAATAAACATGTTTCATTTTGCACATCATCTATTACAACTTTTATGTACGTTTATTATAACAAATACAAACAACTACACCATACAGATGTATGCAAAATCCTAACATTTTCAGTGATCAAGAAACACTCAGCAAAAATAACCCAACAGCATGTGCAGGACTGGCACCTAATCAGGCCTTTTGTTCTCAATCACCCCTTGATTCCGATCGAAATATAGAATTAAGAAAGTACCAAGTACAAGATCAACATTAAGTAAAACTCTGACCTTCCAATTTTGTGGAAATCTTTTACTCTAACCAATCAAAGTGTCATTTTTCTTATAATTTTTTTTTATTTTTTTTCATGTTTGATTAGACAAAAAAAAAAAAAAATTTAGGCGATTAACTGACCAAGTTTCTTTAATTACTAGGAAATACCCATTTCCCCCAAATCAGAACTTTGCGACAACTTTAGTTTCGGATTTTTCAAAATTTCAACTTGTAAAAGATGCGATAAATGCCAGTTCTACATGTACATTTTTATTGACGCAAAAGGAAACACTTTCTGCTAATCACAGTTTCTCTTTGTGAATATTTCCGCTTTGTAATGAAGGTATAAAGTTAATTTCCCTTCTTTAATAACAAAAACTTGTTAATTGCGATAAAAACTAACCCAACCCCTGATTTGATTTTCTGAAAACGAACATTTCTACCCCCTCCCAGCAATAAAACTATGGGTCTATCACTGATCAGACATAGTACTAGTATATCAAAATACCGGGAACCCAAGGAAGTTTATTCTTACCATGCGACATAACCGCATATTCATAATTTTAGAAAGTCCCGTTTTAATACGTGTGGGCAATTCTGCAATAACTCTTAAAAGTGTCATAATTTGGATTACAGCGTTTACAGTTTATTGTAAATTTACGTTTCGCTCATTTCATCCAATGAACCCACAATAAAAGATTCCTGAATGCATTTTATGTATTTTTCTTTTCTAAATTTAACTTCATAAAAATTAATATTTGTATTCAATTTTATATGAATAATCATGCATTTTTAAGTGCACAACAAATCGTCTTATTACATATTTGCCCACACATATAATTTTACAATCAAACATTGAACCGGTCGTACTAGCACTGTGCTCTGCCTGGACTTTACTTAATGATAATTTTACAATTACTTTCATTTTCATAGATCACTTAAGCAAGACATTTTAGTATAACCTCAAAAGTGTCGTTTCAGATTCGAAAACTGGTCGGTCTAAACAAAAATTTAAATTACAATAAAAACATCGTGCGAGGATAGAGTGCTGTACTACAACTTTTTTACACATGTATAATAATAAACCAGCAACGTGCAAGGTTGACGCTTGGATTTAGTCCATTTTATCGGAAGTTTCATGAAAAAACCACTCGTTACAAGCTGCACTTCATTTGATACACGTTTTGATGCAGAATATTACAACCCAAAGCACACATTTCAAACCAAAGCAAATGTCAACCCTGCAAGTTGACTATACGACAAACTTCGGCACACAAGACAACGTTGACATGGGTGCGGGCGCTAGCGAACACGAATCTGATGTCTTTTCTGGGAGTGCGTCCATTCTCATCGTAGACGGTTGTTATGAGGCACTGAAATTAAATGAAAATGAAATGGATTAAACAAAATTCATAACAATATCTTAGGATTTGACAAAGTGAAATACATAATATTAATAATAATCTTGATTGGTTTTTGGCTTTCTTAGTTATACATTATTTTGCGTATTTTGTGGGTAGTGTGATATAAATTCAGGATTTTATTGCTACATGTGCTTTTTAAAACTTCTTCAGAATGATTTCAACACTTACTTTATACCAATGCATCCACACTTAAATAAATTCGTAATCCGAATTCTGGCACTTTAGCTCAACTTTTTAAAAATCAAATACTTTATGCAAACAATTTATTTCAGATTATAATATCAAGGACGGTATGTAATCGAAATTGCAATCAGAAAAAAATGAAGTCAAGGGAGGTCGACTGTGCCTAGCAAATATACGTTTGCTTTCCTGGTCGCGGCTAGTTCTCTATAAAATAATTTGTTTATTGTCAGTTAACTTTAGTAAACAGGATATATTTGTACAGCTCGCTGTCAAAAAATAAAAAGGCACCCATTGGGAGCTGAGAATGTACCGGTAGTTACCTGCTTTGTCGTCTTGCTTTGTTTAAGACGGAATAACGCGTTCAGACCTTTGGACGGCTGGAATAATCTTCTCACTTCTTTATGAGTAAATACTTTCCTTCTGGAAAAAGCAATATAAAAAGTTATTAAACTTTCCAAGCTCATTTCAGCATTCATGTCAATGAAATATATCCAAGAGCCATTACGTCTGAAGTGGGAAATGCATACTTTTGGATAAAATATCGTCAACATAAACCGATCAGTGTTGCCTTATATCATCTATACAGTACTTACAACAAACTACATCAGTTCTCAGTGCCAAAATTTCAGTCTACGTGTGGAAATTGTGGCAATGTGGCACGTGAAGCTTCTTCCTCTTCCTTCTGACCTTGGTCCTATCTGAATACCTCTCACCAAAATGCTCACCTGGTTTACATAATAATAGCACTGACTGTGGGATTGTGTTAGAGAAGACACGATGCGGCTTAACGCAATCTAAACGTTATCATCAGGTTATTGCACAAACAAACCATTTTGTTTTGTCCATCTATAGACCTTCATCCCAAATGAGTTTTTTTATTATTAAAGCATCCCAATTAAAACATGCTGTCGCCTATTGCTCTAGCACTGTAAATATTTAACACTAGAGTTGTGGCGACTAAGGTTTGTACATATATATCTAACATTTTAATTTTTATGCAGCAGTACATATGAACCCAAATATGCTTCTTAGAAAAAATAAATCACATAAGAATCAGTTTACTGAGTTACGCATCATTCGTGAAGGTATTGTTTTCTGATTTCATTGTTTGTTCTCTGTTGTCGCGACTCTGTGGTTGCGTGCGACGTTGTATATGTGCGCACGCTTGTTTTTACGTCGCTTATTCTTCTTTGTTACGTTAAAATGATACATACGTTACCGATACATACGTTACCATGAAGCGTGTAAATATTTATTCTATTTTCATTGGTTTTCTTTCGCTTTGTGGGCCAACACTTTTGTCTTTTATTTGTGTTTCATTAAAATAGTGTTGGCGCACAAAAGGAGAGACAACCAATGAAAATAGAATAAAAAAATATTTACACGCTTTATGGTAACGTATGTATCATTTTAACGTAACAAAGAAGAATGAGCGACGTAATAACATGCGTGCGCACATATACAACGTCGCATAAGATTTCTTGCCTTCAACTATCTGTGAAAATTGTCCATTTGATTCATACGTTACCGATATGTACAGGGTACGTGAGCAAATATTATAATATGAAGGTGCTGTTTTCTGATTCCATTGACTGTTTTTCTGTTGTCACGACTTTGTGAGTGGATGTGACTTTGTATATGTGCGCTTTTCGTTTTACGGTCCTCATTCTGATTTTTTACGTTAATATGATACATATATATACGTTACAAAATGACGTGAAGGTATTGTTTTCTGATTTCATTGTTTGTTCTCTGTTGTCGCGACTCTGTGGTTGCGTGCGACGTTGTATATGTGCGCACGCTTGTTTTTACGTCGCTTATTCTTCTTTGTTACGCTAAAATGATACATACGTTACCGATACATACGTTACCATGAAGCGTGTAAATATTTATTCTATTTTCATTGGTTTTCTTTCGCTTTGTGGGCCAACACTTATGTCTTTTATTTGTGTTTCATTAAAATAGTGTTGGCGCACAAAAGGAGAGACAACCAATGAAAATAGAATAAAAAAATATTTACACGCTTTATGGTAACGTATGTATCATTTTAACGTAACAAAGAAGAATGAGCGACGTAATAACATGCGTGCGCACATATACAACGTCGCATAAGATTTCTTGCCTTCAACTATCTGTGAAAATTGTCCATTTGATTCATACGTTACCGATATGTACAGGGTACGTGAGCAAATATTATAATATGAAGGTGCTGTTTTCTGATTCCATTGACTGTTTTTCTGTTGTCACGACTTTGTGAGTGGATGTGACTTTGTATATGTGCGCTTTTCGTTTTACGGTCCTCATTCTGATTTTTTACGTTAATATGATACATATATATACGTTACAAAATGACGTGAAGGTATTGTTTTCTGATTTCATTGTTTGTTCTCTGTTGTCGCGACTCTGTGGTTGCGTGCGACGTTGTATATGTGCGCAAGCTTGTTTTTACGTCGCTTATTCTTCTTTGTCACGCTAAAATGATACATACGTTACCGATACATACATTACCATGAAGCGTGTAAATATTTATTCTTTTTTCATTGGTTTTCTTTCGCTTTGTGGGCCAACACTTATGTCTTTTATTTGTGTTTCATTAATATAGTGTTGGCGCACAAAATGAAAGACAACCAATGAAAATAGAATAAAAAATATTTACACGCTTTATGGTAACGTATGTATACAACGTCGCTGACTTGATATCTGTAAGATTCTGCAGGGAGAAATGGGAGACATGACCTAGTTTTTTACCTCTCAAAAAGTTTGCAATATACTTTGTCTTTCAGTGGTCCCCGATTCTTTAATATTACCAATGTTATCACTTTGAACCGCATAAAACACTTTTGGAAGTAAAAGAATCATATTAGAAACTATCACTACACTTTCTTTTTATCATTTTATTTTTATTCATCTTAGTATTGCCACTGACATATCTACTAGTGCCTCAATTTAGGACTCATTCCCAATGACACTATTGGTCTATGTAAATCGATCCAACTCCACAGGGACTCTTGCTGAATGCAATTGGATTGGCTCGCCTCCTTTTGTTTATAACATGCTTATTTTCCATTTTCTACTCAAAGCTAGGGGGTGGTGTGCTAATCTCTTAATCTGATTACATTCAGCAAGAGTCCCCCTGAATTGATCTACCTAGACAGATAAAGCACTGAATGCACTCTTTATTTTTATTGGGACTGAGTTCTTAGACCTAAATATTCTTACACAGTCATATAAATAAAACAACAACAACAAATAATAATAATATTTAATATTTATTTATAATTAAAAGTTGGTTGGTACATTTATAATGTTGAAATGATAATTCTCAGAAAAACAAAGGTCAAATACATTTTCAAGAAGTGCATTTAAATTAAAAGTTATGAATAAAGTTGATGAAATCATATAATTACCTAAAATAATATGAGTATGATAAATACTGACAAAAACTGCATTGTAGACTTTCAATTTAATTTTCATAGACATAAAAACTGTATTCATAAACATTTGCACAGTACTTTTTACTTACATTTTTGCATTAAAAATTCCCCATGTAAATTTATATGTACTTTCTAATATTTCATAAGGAAATAAAAGCCCGAAATTTACTGCAAAGAGACTGTAGTTTGCTGCTTTTAAAATGTTCTCTCTCATCACTGTATATCATGTCCACAGTGTGTTCAGTGACTTCTATATAAGACTACAGACACATATACAACTATGATCTACACTGCACTGAATAAAATAGTCACATCATATTACCTGGTTGGGGTTATGTATGTAAATGAAATATCTTCAATATGACAGTAAGAGTAAAAGTAACTCTCAAGTGGTGAAAAACTGGAAAATTTTTATTTACCAAGTATCCTTCATCAGTTTTGTATACATACCTGTTGTAAGCATAAGTTTTACCCCCTACCCAGGTTCTGTATGATATTATTTGTCAATGAGCACATTTAGAACAGCAGACAAACAGATCTGCGGATCAAATATGGCGACCCACTAAATGCTAATGCTTATTGCTTAATCCCCATGAGAAATCTATTTTGTGTCTTATCAGGAATTTTAATTGTAAGTGACAAGCTTTTTAGAAGGTTGCCATATTTGATCAGGAGATCTGTTAGTCCACTGTTCTGAAGCAGCCAATGAAGCATGAGAGAGAAAATATAACAACATTGAACAGCTATAGGAGTTTGAAATTTTCATAGCATTTAATTTCTCTTTCTCCCCTCTCTTTATCTATGCCTCTCTACAACTTCAACCCAGTTTCTCTTAAATAAAATTCTGCACTAATGAGCTAAATAAAATAAATAAACACTATTTGATTACAAACAGCTCCAGAATTACCAGGTGGGAATTTACTAGGTACCAGTACTTATAACAGGAATTAACAATTTGATGATTTAGTCATCATTCTGACTTGCTTTATCCACTTTTAGTTTATTAGCACTACATGTACTTTAGGCAATCTAGCTCAATAAATAACTGAACATTTAAGATAAGAAAATATCTTGTCTTTTGATTCAATTTCATTAAAAAATTAACAAAAAATTACAAAGTAAGCAACAAAATCAATAATAACTACTCATCTTTTTATAAAGATTACATAGAATGAGATCACAACAGTAGTGTACATACATGTACTAGTATAAAGCTTCAGTATACTAACAGTTACTGCAAAAAGTTATTTTAAAGAAATAATAATAAAATGATTTTCTCCATATTACATTTACAAAATTGCTGCAGACATCTTTTATACTTAATTATCCTAGGATGAGATGAGATGAGCTCTAACATAAGACTAGACAGCAAAGCTGGCAAAATATACAGACACAGAACACAAAACATGTTGCAACAAAGAAGTTTAATAGATTTTTTTCTGTGACAGCTAGGACTGAATATATATACAAATATGGGTCAAGGCTTATGGGTTTGCAAATTCGATCACCAGTTTTACCATTAGTTATATAATAGCTTCTTTCAATACATATAAAAACTGTACATATTAAGTATCTGTAAAAATAATCAAATCCTGCTAATTTTTAATTCAAGCAGCCTTTTACTAAACAAAGCCTCTCTGCAAATTTGATTTAAAACAAAAACGTGGTTTGGTATTTAAGGTAAGACAGTCACCAAAATACATGCAAAAATAAAATAAATAAATAAATAAATAAATAAATAAATAATGTGTTTTTAAATTTTTTTACTCTGTCAAAGTGGCCCAAGTGGGTGGGTGGGTGGGACCCTATCTCCTGATGTCAGGGAGGAAAAAGAAATGGTTGGAGCCTGGTTCACAAACCTTGACTGCATTGAGACAAATCATCTCCAACAAAAGATTTCAGAAGGACATTATGTCAGAAACAAGTATTTTCCCCAAATAAAGGTAGGGAGATGATATTGTAACGATACCCCCTCTGTTTGGTTTAAGATCCGCTTATTCCTTATGGCCTATACTGCAGCTCACGACACAACAGCACCAGCGAAACCTCAAATCTAATGATGTTAGGTCAAGAAATTGATTTACTGGTACACGCAATGATTGAGGAACCCCCTGGTTCACCTGCTTTACAAACTGATTATGCTTTGCAATTGCGTGAAAACTTGAGTATCCCTTAGCAAAATGAAAAGTGTGCAGCGCATGTGATGCAAATGTACAGCACATGTGCAGCACACTCTTGAGTGTGCAGTAGACAGCTTTGGGGAGTGTGCAGATAGTGTGCAGAAAGTATGCAAAAGACTTGGTATTTCAATAGAAGCATGCGGAGAGTGTGCGATAACCTTAAAATTTGATCAAGAGTATGCAACAAGTGTGCAGAAAATGTAATTTTTCTGTCATGAGTGTGCAGAAAAT